CCCGAAACATCAGCCTTCCTGCTCCTCTGATGCTGCTTGGCCTGCTGTGTTCATCCAGCTCTACACCTTGTTATCACAGCAAAAGGTTGGACTGTTCTCCTTGGAGCACGTTGAGATGATGCAGAAGAGTTTTGTAATGAGAGGTATTGAGAAAAAAAAAAGAGAAAATTATTTAATCAAATGAATGGATAAACAAGTGGACGCTTTTGAATATGTCACATTGACAAAGAATTTGGAGGGCTAATGAGGAGGAGAAATGTTCCATTCGAAACGGTCAGGATCTGAAAGAGTCCACATAGAGCAGTGTTGGAAGCTGATTCTATCAACCATTTTCAAATACAAAGCTGGACAGACACTTGTGGATGAGGAACTCAGGGCTACACACAAGAGGGAGATGTGGGATGAAGCATGACTACTCTTTCAAAGAGCCAACATAGGGATGATGGTCAAATGGTCTCCAAATGCTGTATGTTTTTTAAAAAGGTTCATTCATGGGATGTGACTGCTACTGACTAAGCCAGTGTTTAAAATCCTATCAGAGATGGATAATACGAGAGAGATCTGGGGAGTAGTCAAGTACATAGTTTAAGTAATGAAGACAAAAATAACCCTAATAACACACAAAAATAATGCTTATAATCTTAATTAAAAGACAGAATTATTAATGATCTAGGAGAAGATAATCAGAGCAACCAAAGTGCAATTCAGAAATCAGATTGTGCCCAAACCAGGTAAGAGTTTCATGAAGGAGGTAACTGATATGAATCAGGAAACAGTGATTATAATGTAATGTATAAACTCATTGCATGTGACGCATATACATCCTATGAATGATTTTTAATAAAGGCATTTGAGGCTTTTAAAAACACCTCAATTTGATAAAGCAACAAAAAAAGCTATAAAAAGGGTGTTTCAGGCCAGGCATATAGGATATAAATCATGAACATACAATAATGATGCTCAGCAAAACATTTAAGATCCCAGCTGGAGAATTGAGATTAGTTACAGAATCATACAGCATGGAAATAGACCCTTCAGTCCAACCAGTCCATGCTGGCCATAATCCCAAACTAAACTAGCCCCACCTGCCTGTGCCTGGCCCATATCCCTCCAAGCATTTCTTATTCATGTACTTATTCAAATTTTTTTTTTTTTTTTTTTTAGAAAAACAAAGTTATAGCTGTACCTGCATCCACACTTCCTCTGGCAGTTCATTCCACACATAAACCAGTGTAAAAAAAAGTTGCCCTTCATATCGTTTTTAAATCTTTCTCCTCTCACCTTAAAAATATATGTCCCCTAGTCTTGAAATTCCCCACTCCAGGGAAAAGACACCTGCCATTCACCTTATTTATACTCCTCATTATTGTATAAACCTCCTATGTTCCAGTGAAGAAAGTCCTAGCCTATTTTTATAACTCAAACCTTCTATTCCCTGCAACATCCTGGTACATCTTTTCCAAACCTTCTCCAGCTTAATAATATCTTTGTACTGCCAAGGAAGGAGATAATACATTGCAGATTCACCAACATGATATGAACACACAGATGCAATGAATGACTTAAAATGGGCAATTTTGAGCTTTGGTGATTTCGTAGAGGTGGTGTAGAGACTAAAAGGGTCAAAATGCAATTGTGTTCACCTATTATTAATGTAGTGGCAGTTACGAGTCAAATGATTGTAGGATTAAGTCCCACTGCAGCTTTGAGCATAAGCAGCACACTACTGATAGAGTGCTGCATGGTCAGTCGTTCAGTCTTTAGGGTGACTGAAACCCCACCTGCCTGCTCAGTCTGATCACCGTGCTGCTCAAAGACAAAAAGGTAGTTCTCGCAATATCCATGGCAACCTTGCTCCATAAAACAGAAACAGAAGTTAATCCAGACATTGATTCACCAAGTGTAGGAACTTGTAACACCCAGCTGTACATATGTCTGTATAATATTGACTGTATTTAAAAACCCATTAGTTAAGAAGTGCTTTAGAGCATACTGTACCTTAGGAACATTACTTCAAATTTGTTCTTTCGGTCAAACAAAATCATTGGAGCGGTAAAAGTGATCATGGCCCAGCTTTAACTTTTCAATACTAGAAATGGGAATGCTCAATAAACAGAGGAAGATGAAAAAGATTCCCAGCACTTACAGTTCTTAACTTGCTAAAATGAGCTCAAAAATATTAGTAAGGGAAACTTAGCCTTGCATCATCATTTCATAAAAAAGTGAAGTTTTTACTGATGTAACAGATATTGTTCAACCAACCAAGTATGAACAGGAAGTAATAAAAGGTGACCTCTAAAACAAGGCTTAATGTTTTCTCTGAAGACAAGAATAAAACTCAGTCTGAACCCTCCTTACCTAGCTGCTGTGCCCACTGGATTACTTTACCAGTGTCAGAAGCATTTCCTTCTGCTATGTAAGTAAGTTCAGATCCAATCTTCCATCCAACCAATGGATAAAGGCCTGCATGATTAAATTATGCAACAAAAAGATTGATTCAACAGCTGAACATTTATCATTCTGTTGTGTCCCACATGTACATTTTGCTTGGATAGGTAGTACAGCCATCACCACTAAGCTTCTAGTATTTCTTTAAAAAAGCATTTTCCATCTTCATAGTCACTTTAACATCTGTCCATAATGGTCACCACTTGTATGAACTTTAATCGAGCTAAATGGTGTCACCATAGACTCTGGTGGAATTAAGGTCAGTGAGCAGACGAAGCAAGTAGCACAGGGTGTGGAGGTGGTGGTGGGGAGTTCTTCTCTAGGGCAGCCTTTGGCCGTTCCGTCACCCTGGCAGGTACAGGCTGATGGCCTACCAGATGCTTTGGCACCCCAGCCTGCTGTCTCCAGTGACAGCCTTCAGGTATTTGATCTGCCCCAACATGTCAGGCCCATCGCAAACCCAAACTAGTGGTAGCCTGGCTGTTTGTTTTTGAGAGGGTTTTAATGAGTGTTATGATTGGGTAACTTGTTGGTGAGGTATTCTCACACTGATCCCCACTGAAATTAGGGGCTTCTCTGAAGGTAGCCAAAGCCTCGGATTGGTTGTCCAACCTGCCAACTGTCTCGAGGCGAATAGGGGATCTGTGTCCAACCCAATTACTGCATTATCCCTGTGGAGGTTTTGTCTTTTGGTAGTTTCAGAGCAGGTAAGTGGCACATGGTGGAGAACACTCCCAATTCCTGTCTCTCCCCTCTGGTGCAGGGAGCTCAGCCCATTTTGCTTCTCAGCAGCTGAAACCTGCATTTGTTGTTCCATCACAAATGGTATTTCTTATGACTGAAGATGAGATTAAGGCCAGGGTTTACTTACTGGGCATTGGAATGCACAATCCCAACTTTAATCCCTGGTTAACACTCTTACTAAGCTTAGTGCCCAGTTCTAGGGGAATGGGCAGCCTTCCTGGGCCGTTAACCCAATTGAGTCAAAATAGTAATAGGTTTAGAAAGCAAATACACTGGCTGGCTTCATTTTCCACCTTTGTTTGGGACCTAGAACATCTCAGCGTAGAACCTGAACAGCACCACCTACGCACAATGCCATAACATTAACATGCTTGTAACATACAAGGTTGTCCCAAATGATTGGGAACACACACTTCAAATAAATGATAATAAAACACAAAGAACTGCACAGATAATGATAAATTGGCTGCTCTACATAATTGTCATGCAACGACTTTCACATTGATTGAAGGATTATTGACTGTTTCATGATGACAAGTTTATTGAGTGAATCAAGAATTAAAACAGATTGCTATACCAGTTACAGAAGCATGAGGCTTGGTTCCAGTGTTGACAGACATAAAAGTGCCTGTCCCCATCGTGAGCTTCACATCTCCTGGTTCAAAGCAGCACTCCCCAAACATGGCTGCCTGTTGATCTGCTGCCTGTACAGAGTTTAAAAAAAAAATTAGGAGTGTCACCAGGGCTGATGTTGAATTGCTTACATACCCCTTTTACTTGCCTGACAAGTTAACACTTTCACAATCCACCCAGCTTTCTTCACCTTCAGATGGGAGAATGGGAAAGCTTACACATCCCCATCAATATCATCAAAGCCACGGCACAGTGGCTCAGTGGTTAGCACTGCTGCCTCTCAGCGCCAGGGATCCAGGTCCGATTCCACCCTCTGGCGACTGTTTGGGTGGAGTTTGTACATTCTCCGTGTCTGTGCAGGTTTCCTCCCATTTCTTCCTAGATCCAAAGATGTGCAAGTCAGGTAGATTGGCCATGGGAAAATGCAGGCTTGCACAGACGGGATGGATCTTGGTGGGATGCTCTTCAGTGGGTCAGTGCGGACTCGATGGACCAAATGGCCTATTTCCACAACACAGGGATTCTAGGATTCTATCCCATCCCAAAGCCAATTAACATCAGTTCCATTCTCCTTTTGCTAACCACAAACATCCCCCAGCCATTCATTTTCTAAAGAGAGGCAGGAAGTCCCACTCAACGGGATAATGACTTCAAATGTGATAAGCACTTGATACTCAACACTCCAACATATTCTGTGCCATCTGCAGTCTCCAAGTAAGCATTTCTGTCAAGCAAATTTTGGACAAACTATTTAGAACTCTCTCTAAATCAGCATTTTAAGACTGAGTGAGAGGAGGAGGAATTCTCTCTCAGAAGGTTGAGTGCCTTTGAAATGCCTAGCCACAGAGCTGTGGGGACACAGTCCTTGTGCATATTCAAGGCTGAGATAGATTCTCGATCGGTCAGGGAGTCAAGAGCCGGGAAAGGGCAGGAAAGTGGACACGGGGAATATCGGATTAGCCATGTTTTTATTGAACGGAGCAGTTTCATGGGGCCAAATGGCCCACTCCTGCTCCTATTTCTTACAGTCTTACACAGTCAATGACTATTATAGTTTATTTTGAAAACAGCTTAAAATGCATATACCAATTTGAAAGTGACAACAATTTCAAAGAACTACTTCAAAATCTATTTTTTGAAGCATGTAGAATCCATGAAATTTTATTCATTTGCCTTGTTGAATGTAGTTCCCAAACACAAAACATTGGAAAAGGCACAGAAAATAATCTTAAGGCTCAGTAATAAATGCACAGCAGCTGATGACCAAAAAACACATACTTTGCACAATCGGTAAAACTATAATGTGTAAAGTATCCACAGCACACTTAGCACACTATACAAAATTATGGAACTATTTCAGAATCTTTAATATTGTGCAATACTTACCAAAGCCATTATTTGAATAGGGATACCAAATATACTTTTATCAGTGTATCCAAAATTGCAACTAAAATATTGAGAGAAAAACATTTAATTGAGTTATAACTATATTTTTAAAATGTATGGAGTTTAAATATTAACTTAGTTACTGAAATGTCATTAAATATCTTATTTATTCATTCATTCATGGGATGTGGGTATTGCTGGATTGCCAGCATTTATTACCCATCCCTAGTTGCCCTTGAGATGGTGGTGATGGTGAGCTGCCTTCTGGAACTGGTGCAGTCAACCCACAATGCCCTTAGGGAAGGAATTCCATGATTTCGTTCCTTCAGTGTCACTGGGACAAAGATAAACTTCCAAGTCAGGCTGGCAAGTGGTTTGGAGGGGAACTTCCAGGTGGGTGGTGTGCCCATGTATCTGTTGCCCTGGTCAGTCTAGACGGTCTGGAAGGTGCTGAAGGATATTTGGTGAATTTCTGCAGTGCATCTTGTAGATAGTACACACTGCTGCTACTGAGCGTCAGTGGTGGAGGGAGTGGATGCAGTGCCAACTAAGTGGGCTGCTTTGTGCTGGATGGTGTCAAGCTTCAAGTGTTGTCTGGATGAGTGCAGCCCTAACAATTAGGAAGAGTTCCATCACACTCCTGACTTGTGCCACGTAGGTAGTGGACAGGATTTGGGAAGTTAGGTGTTGAGTTACTCTCTGCAGGATTCCAAGCCTCTGACCTGCTCTTGTAACCACAGTACTTAGATGGCTATTCCTGTTCACTTTCTTGCCTGAACACTGTCCAGATCTTGCAACATTTGAACAAGGGCTGCTTCAGTATTTGAAGAGTCAGAAATGGTGCTGAGATGTTTGAATATTTGAAAGGCAGAATGCAAGTTGGAGGAAATTGTAAATTACATTTCTTTTATGAATTCTTTTCAAAGGAATCAGTTCACATTTGCTTAAACTCATCACACTTACTGAAAATTATGGGCAGTATTACATTCAGTGAAGTGATGTTTACTGAGCTACAAAGAGGTGCAAAAAAAAAAAAAAAAATTTATATTTCTCTGTCAGGATGAAGTTTCTCCCACCTTATACATACTTTAGCCTTGCCGCTTTAAAAAATCAGCCATTTTGATAATGCCATAATCTCTCCTTAAATCTGTCTATAGACAAACAGGAAGTTCCTTAAAATACAGGAATAGTACTGATTATGATTTACGTCAATATCTTACCTATTGGCATCATCCTTTTATTTAATTGGAGACAACCGAATATTTTATTCCACCTTGGAACAACTGAGAACATTTACTCCTTTATGGGTTGCTCAATTTATGTAGAAACAGAGATGGGAGCAGGAGTAGGCCATTCAACCCCTCAAGCCTCTCTCTTTCTCAACCAATATTTTGGCCTCAACCACCTTGTGGTAGTGAATTCCATAGGCTCATCACACTGTGTAGGAATTTGTCATGTCATACTTAAAAAGGTTTACCCTTTATTCTTACACTACGACCTTGGTTCTGGGCTCCCCCACCAGCGGAACATCTTTCCTGTATGTAATCTCTCTAGTCTTATTAGATTTTTTTAAATGGGTTTCTTCAAGAACGCTCATTCTTTTAAAGTCCAGGTGCATACAACCCTGACTGATTCAACCTCTCATCTTATGAGAGTCCTGCCGACCAAGAAATGAATTTGGTAACCTAACGAACATCCATCTTCAGATAAAGGGACCAAAACTTCTCTCAAAATTCTGCAAGCAAAAGGAATTAAATGAAACCACTGGAAGTACTGTTCCCTGGTGCATTATCGACAATGCCTTGACCAATCAGCGCTCTAAATAAGCAGCTCAGCAGGCAGCGTAAATTAAAACGTGGTAGCCTTGCATTTGTTTTGAGGAGTTCAAGATGATAAGTTTCAACAATTAAATTTCCTCCTTCAGAAAGTTTCCTGTGGGAAGCATCTCTCCAAGCCACTCACCATCCTGACCTAGGAATGTATCACCGTTCCTAGTGTCGTTAGATCAAAATTCTGGAATTCACTCCCTAAGAGCATTGTGGGTCGTAGCAGTTTCAAGAAGGCAGCGTGCCACCACCTTCCCAAGGGCATCTGGAGACAGGCAATAAATACTGGACCAGTGATGCCCATATCCCGTGAATGAATAAATTTTAAAAACATGAAATATTCAATTAAAAAAATTGGAGAAACTCAGCAGGTCGGGCAGCAATGGAGAGAAAACATTCAGCTTTTTAAGTCCTGTAAGCCTTCAGAGACATTTAGAAGGGTCACTGGACTCAAAACATTAACTCTGCTTTCTCTCTCCACAAATGCTGACCGACCTGATGAGTTTCCCCAGGAATTTTTTTTTGTTACAGAAAGTCAGAGTCAGTTGTACAGCACAGAAACAGACCCTTCAGTCCAACTTGCCCATGATGAGCTGATATCCGAAATTAATCTAGTCTCATTTGTCAGCATTTGGCCCATATCCCTCCAAACCCTTCCTATTTGTGTTTCCATCCAGATGCCTTTTTTAATGTTATAATTGTACCAGCCTCCACCACTTCCTCTGGCAGCTCATTCCATACACGCACCACCCTCTGTGTGAAAACGTTGCCCCTTAGGTCCCTTTTAAATCTCTCCCCTCTCACCCTAAACCTATAATATTGTTTGAGATAGTAGGAGCTGCAGATGCTGGAGAATCTGAGATAACAAGGTGTGGAGCTGGATGAACACGGCAGGCCAAGCAACATCAGAGGAGCAGGAAAGCTTTCAGAGATAGTAGGAGCTGCAGATGCTGGAGAATTCCTGCTCGGCCTGCTGTGTTCATCCAGCTCTACACCTTGTTATCTCTGTAGTATTGTGCTCAGTTTTGGTCACCTTGCTATAGGAAGAATGTTATTAAACTGGAAAGAGTGCAAAAGAAATTTGCAACAATGTCGCCAGGATTTAAGGGACTGAGTTATAGCGAGAGGTTGGACAAGTTAGGACTTTTTTCTTTAGAGTATAAAAGACTGAGGGGGACCCTTATAAAAGTGTATAAAGATCATGAGAGGCATGGATAGGGTGAATGCACTCAGTCTTTTTCCCAGGGTTGGGGAAATCGAGGACTAGAGGGCATCAGTTTAAGGTAAGAGGGGAAAAAATACATGAGAACCTGGGGGGCAACTTTTGTTGTTTTTACAGAGGATGGTAAGCATATGGAAAGAGCTGCCAGCAGAAGTGGTTGAGGTGGGTACATTAACAACATTTAAAAGGTATTTGGACAAATACATGGATAGGAAAGGTTGAGAAGGATATGGGCCAAGTGCAGGGAAATGGGGTTAGCGTGGATGGACATTTTGGTTGGCATGACCAGTTTGGGCCAAAGGGCCTGTCTCCATGCTGTAGGAGTCTATAACTCTATGACCACTAGGTGTGGACTTACTTATCCTGGATCTTCTTCATCCACAGTTCTCTATTTGAATTTCATGAACTAATCGAGTTCTGTGCTACCAAACATCTATTTGCCCTTCGCTCCTCAAGCAGTTAATTTTGCAACATTTTAATTCTACCCAAGTTTTCAGTCAAAATTGCAAAACCTAATCAAATGGCAGGTAATTCTTTTAATTAATCTACAGTGTAATGGTAGTGTAACATTGGTGATATTTAGCTCAGAGTTCTCACCTGGTATCCTTTACTGGAGGGAGAATGGACACAGGCACAGACAGAAGGTTTGCAAGGAATTTACTCCAACACAACTAAAATGATAAACATCAACTATTATAAATAAGAAGGTGAAATATCAATGCAATGTATTTTGAAAATTTCATATTCAAACAGATATACACTGAAAATTATGTTCAAATTAGAAATATTCCTCATGGAATGAAAATAAACTTTCAGCTTAGTTAGAAAGAAAGTCAGGATACCTGATAAGGATCAAACATTGCTGTAGTACTTGCATTTGAGTAATCTGTAGCATAAACAGCACCTATGTATAAGGAACAGCACAGGTAAGAGATAATTGAAACGAAAATAGTGAGCATCTGCTGTAACCTTCTACGTTAATAAAGAAATCTTCTAATACCTCAAAAATCTTATTGGTCACACAGGATGGGCGTGGAAGCACACATTCAGCTCAAGACTTTGAACACAGCAAGCAAACATTCTTGGGAACGAGCTTCAAGCTGGTCATTACCAAAAGCTTAATATTATGGATTATTTGGTCTTTAGGAAGGACTGGAAATGGGGAGAGAAGGTTAACAATGACGAGATAACAATTTACAGCAGTTGGATAAAACGTAGAACGACAAGGATGAACAGGCAGTGGAAATATGTTTCTGTTTCTTGATTTTACTGAAAAGGGACTGCAGCAGTTCCTTCTCAAGAGCAACCAGGAAAGGGCAATAAATGCTGGCCAACCCACTAACACCCACATCCTGTGAATTAATAAAAAAAACTTTTTTTTTGGGGATGGTCTCTCTAATGAAACAGCAGCCCTCTAGTCCTGCAGGACAATGGTGACTTTATCTTCACCTGTGTGAATGGACTTCTAGAAAGCATCACTGTGATATCAAGGATAAGTACATCAGCAGAATGTCACAAATGCTGTTGCCTTATGCTGTTCTGGGGTTCCAAGTTTTCATTTTATTTATCATTAATGGTGACAAAGATTGTACAACAGCTTTTGTTCCTTTAGGTCAGAAGTTGGTAATAGGGACAGTAAGTAATACAGATGGGAGCATGAAGTTGCAAAGGATCACTGATTTTTGCTGGCAAATACTTCAATGAACAGTAACAATATTGAAGTCTAATAGTTATTACAGCAGCCCATGGCAAGAGTTGGGAAGCAGATCAGTCAGGTGATCAGCACTGAAGACTATCTCCCAGAGTTTAAGGATCAAACTTGTAAAACAGAGAGACATCTTTTAAAAAAAATTCCAAAGAAGGAGAGGGGGAAGGACATTGGAAAAGGTTAGACATTGTGCAAGAGGAGTGACAGGAATAGGAGTAAGGTTTTGTTTTCCCCTTTTCTTGGTTTAAAACTGGATTTGGTTATAGATTTTACTTTCAGATAATTAGAAAGCAAAGAAGCCAATATAGGTGGTGGAAAGAACCAGAACAATGCTCAGGGACAATGGACATTGAGAGATAACAAAGATATTTACGCATTTTAGGAACTGTTTATGGCATGGTTTATTGGTTGCATTATAATTTTGAGAAATTTGAGTCAAATATGATGCTTCATATATCACAAACAGGCGCTCTATCTGCAGAGATATATAAAGCAATTATAAAGGATTGTGCACAAGATGACAGAACGTTCAATTCATAATTTTGGCTTCAAACCAATTTGAACAAATCACTACATTGAATTGAGATAGTAGGAACTGCCGATGCTGGAGTCTGAGATAACAAGGTGTAGAGCTGGATGAACACAGCAGGCCAGGCAGCATCAGAGGAGCAGGAAAGCTGACGTTTCGGGTCTGGACCCTTCAGAAAG